CACAGCCAAAGCAAACAATACGACGCCTCTGTCTCTGCGGTTTTTCAGGACCTTGACCCACGGAAGCTACAACGGGATGGAGAACAGTCTGGGGAAGATGCCCCGGAACATGCTCCCTCTGAAAATCAGCGTCTTGAACGCTCCGTGACAGGATGACCAACCCATCCAGGTCTGCAAAGGAAGAAGGTTTCGGAGCAAAAATCAGTCTGGACCGCTCCTCAGGCTTCAACCCCTGCAAGACAATGTCCACCAGTTGGGATTCAGGGATGTCCAGCCGTAGGACACGCCACACGCCACAAATGTCACCCACATACTGACTGAGAGTTTCATCAAACTTTTGAGGACGAAACACCCTCTCAACTTTCAATCTCTCCATGACCCTGAAGGGGACAAAGAGCTCAAGCAATTCACTGTGAAAAATTTCAAAATTTACTCCCCGTTTCAAACAATCTAATAATTTGTCACCAAGAGGTCTCAGGCAGAGTGGAACCAGTAGTTCCAACACCACTGAGTCCTCCATGCCTGGGAACTCCTTCAGGTGCAACACCTTTCCCAAAAACTCTAACAAAGGTTCCACCTCTAAACCATCAACCGGGCGAATGTCGCTCAAAACCCCAGCAATGGGATTGGGCAGTGGAGCAAACAAACCCATTTTGCTCTCAGTCAGTCGACCTACCTACAAAACACACAAAAAATTGTTTTTTTTTTTTTTTTACAACGAACAATTCACAAACTTAACTAACTAAAGGCTCTGGACTGAAATGCCTACAGTCAGATGAGGTCCCAAACAGAAGAACCTGCCCATACACACCGCCTTAGCCACCAAATAAAAAAAAACACGGACTTACACTCACCACATACACACATACATACATACACTAAACGACAACACCTAACATTTGTGTGATGAGGTAAACACACACACACAGTTTCAATTTTGGGATTGGCCATGCTTTAGACACTCTTGCTCCCAAAGGATGCAAGTCATTAACCAGATTCCACCCGGTGACTCGGCCAAGGGCGAGCTCCTAATAAAAACTACAACAGTGTGCTTACCCCACCACGACAACATTTCTTCAAAAAATTCCTAAGACTGCTAGACCAGCATCACCCAAAATCAAATCCAACCACGGCCCTTCGTGGAAAGAGCACAAAAAACCACGCTCTGCTACCATCTGAGCCGACCCCTCGCACCATCCCCAGACGAACAACCATTGGAAACGTGCCCCCCATAGTGACAGTGCGAGTGGCCGCCCCACATCCCTAACAAAAGTGAAAGGCCGTGGGTGAATATCAAAACAAAACAAAAGTTGTCAACAAAGCCTATATTAATCTCAAAATTCAACAAATAACAATCATCAACAATGTCAGCCATCCAAAGAATTCATTTAAAAATCTTTCAAAAAATTTACCCTTCTGAATAACAAAAACTGGTACCAGTAACAAATTAGGCCTAACAATGAAATAATTAAAGATGGTAACTGTAAATATACTTTAAACTTTGAAAAAATTAACAATTAAATAAATAACAATACTATAAAAATAAATAACGAAGAATCGATCATTTTGCGGGCCCCCCTTCAAATATAAAGTTTTTTAAAATGTTCGTAATTTCAAAGTATAACTTGCGTATTGCGTGGCACAACTATTATCCTTGCTGGTGGCAGGCGGTGGTGGTGGGTGACGGTGAGTAGCTTAATGGTCCCCGGAGAAGCTGGGCCGTAGGCAGCCCAAGGAGGCAGAAGATGGAGTGTTAGGCGCCTTAAAATAAGAAAATAAATAGCAAAACCTAGAAATAATTAGAACACAGATGAAACCATTGTTGTTCGATAGTGAAAAGTATTGTGAATAACATATCAAAAGTCTCCAAAAATATCTTTGGTGGAACACCACCATTTTTCCAAAATGGCGGCCAAATCCAGTAGTTCTTTGCTTTTTATTGAAATTCTGACTTTCCAGTCAATATTGGTGAAAAGTCGTCAATACATTTAATGTTCCTCCTGAAATTACCTTTAAAATGATAACAAATACATGTACCTACAACAAAAAATAAACCCCGTAGAAATAATAAAATATTTCAAATAAAAATATTTGTTATAAATTAATGTAATAGTACAAGCAAACTAAAAATAACGTACACAGGGATCGTATATAAAAATTTGCAAGTAAAGATGTTATGGTTTTATTTTTATTGTTGTGGTGTGCAGAGTGACATACCAAAAGTTGCAAAAAATCAGTCCACGGGAAACCCCTAAATTAAGGAAAAAATGGCGGCTTTTCCCAATATTGGACAAATTTTGCAACAAAAGATACCACATGTTTTTTTGCACATTTTTCGAGATATTGACTTGGAACCACGACCGATATTTATTGGATAGTCCGTACTTAATTTCAATAGGGGACGCTTTTTGGGCCGCCATCTTGGATCAGCCATATTGGGTCTGCCATATTGGATATAAATATTTTTTAATGTAATTATAGTGTTGTGACACATCATTATGAACTAGATTTCCACGCTGATTTCAATGCTGAAATCAGTTTTTTAAATAGCGTTTTACGATTTTAAGATATATAAAAACGAAAACTCTCTCCCATACATTTCTTATGGACGTTTCGTACTTTGACAATTTAAAAACACATTGAAAACTACCACAGTCTAAGGTTGTACTATCAGGTTCAAGTATGGCGTGGAAATAGTTCCAACAGATAGGGAGTGGTGTTTGACTGATGGTACATATGACTAACTTAATTATAAATAACTGTACTTATAAATAACTGTAACTGTGTAACTTGGAAATTATATTTAGATAAATATAGGATATGACCTTTAAAAAATTTCAATAAAACGTTTTATGGTTTTATTTTGTAGTGTTGTGCAGAGTGAAAACGGGAAAAACTCGTCATAGCTATTCGTTCAAGTATTGACTTTTATTTTAGCTATGGATTCCTTATTGGGAGTTATTTAGAATTGGGGATGAATGTCTTTAACTAAAGACAAATTTCAAAATAACAATAATTCATTCAATAGTTCATTGAAGGTAGGCCTACATGATTCGTTTTAAATTTGTCATGTGTCATTTAATAATCAATAAAATTAAAGCCAAACATTTACTGAGTACTTTGATACCAGAATGAACTTGTTAACATATTAACAATCCGAGATATAAATCTTTTAACAAAAACTGATAAAAAAAGTTTAATTTAATTTTGTGTTGGGGTTTGTACCTCGTCTATAACTAGTCTGTTTTAACTATAAATAAAACAAAATGAAAGCTAACTAAAATGAAAGATCTTTTATCACTGAATATTTTAAGGCTAGAACAAACTGCAAGCAATAATAATACCTGGAGAAAAATAATCCAAACACATTTTCAAAGTAACTTACGATACGTCCATAACTGATGTATAGGGGAGAGTTTTCGTTTTAATATATCTTAGGCAACGAAAAAACTTATTTAAAAACGGATTTCAGCATTGAAATCAGCGTGGAAATCTAGTTCATAATGATGTGTCACAACACTATAATTACATTAAAAAATATTTATATCCAATGTGGCAGATCCAATATGGCTGATCCAAGATGGCGGCCCAAAAAGCATTTCCTGTTGAAATTAAGTACGGACCATCCAATAAATATCGGTCGTGGTTCCAAGTCAATATCTCGAAAAATGTGCAAAAAAACATGTGGTATATTTGTTGCAAAATTTGTCCAACATTGGGAAAAGCCGCCATTTTTTCCTTAATTTAGGGGCTTCCCGTGGACTGATTTTTGCAACTTTTGGTATGTCACTCTGCACACCACAACAATAAAAATAAAACCATAACATATTTACTTGCAAATTTTTATACGATCCCTGTGTACGTTATTTTTAGTTTGCTTGTACTATTACATTAATTTATAACAAATATTTTTATTTGAAATATTTTATTATTTCTACGGGGTTTATTTTTTGTTGTAGGTACATGTATTTGGTATCATTTTAAAGGTAATTTCAGGAGGAACATTAAATGTATTGACGACTTTTCACCAATATTGACTGGAAAGTCAGAATTTCAATAAAAAGCAAAAAACTACTGGATTTGGCCGCCATTTTGGAAAAATGGGGGTGTTCCACCAAAGATATTTTTGGAGACTTTTGATATGTTATTCACAATACTTTTCACTATCGAACAACAATGGTTTCATCTGTGTTCTAATTATTTCTAGGTCAAACCACATATTCAGGGGCCTATGTCCCTCCGGGCGACCCTCTCCGAGGACAGCGGCTGGTGAAGCCTCACATCCGGGACCTCATCTGACGTCTGGCAAAACACTTAAACCATGACTAGAGTCTACGAAGAACGGATGAACAAAATTAACAGTGACATTGAAAGATTAACACTGATATTCATCGAAGATACCCAAGTCTTTACAAATTGACAATCGCCGGCCTTCTGGTGAAAATGTGACAGAAGGCGGACATTGACTCTGGGTTGCAGGATTGCTGCCCGACCCAAACCGACTGAGTTCCGGCGCAAAGCCAGTACTCGTACTATAAAAAAAACTGAGGCGTGACATTGGTGGGACGCTTGGTGGGCATGTCACGGCTCAGCCGGTACAGTACAAAAGTGAACTGTACCTACTGATAAAATGTTTGCGGCAGTGACCAGGATCCGAAACAACGACATAGCTGCCTTGATGTGTGATTAAGTTTTGTTGAAACACGTTTAAATATATTACCAACCTAGTTATAAAACTAAGTTAAGTTAATTAGGCCAACCAATTTGTTTTAATTTTAAATTACAGAATAGAAAGTTCATGCTAGGCCTAGTAATGTAGGCTAGGCTAAATCATTAATTTAGCATGTAGGCTATTGAGCTAGGTTCACATTTAGTCGAAGTTATTTTAACACTAAATTTGTAGGCTACTGGCAAGCTTTAAAATTAATGTATTCTTAAGAAACTACTGTACTTTGGATAATAATTTATGTGCTTTAATGGCTATCATTTAATGAACTTACTTACAAACATGAATTTGGTACTCAATGAACCTATAAATAATCACTGATAGGCCTATATCACACTCTTGGCAACTGCAACTGGCCAAAAATACAAGGATTGTTAGTCAGTCAAGGAAAACAACTACTGACAGAATTACGGAATCCAGAATCTCATTTGAATTTAGATTAGACGAGTTTGTTTTGGTTGGTTAGTATTAAACAGGATAAGATAACAAAAACAAAACAACACGAACACACCACAATCTTCTCTCGAGTCTCTGGCTGGTCTGTTGCTGAATGAATGCTGTTCAGCTTTCAGCTAATCAGCTGTTCCTGCTCTTCCTCATCCTCTTCCTCCTACTATATTCCTAATCTCCTATATTCTATGCTTTGCTATTCTGATTCTGTTTCTGTTATTCTGTTTTGTTTTTGTTCTGCTGATCAGCTGATCTGATGTGATCTCTTCTTCGTGGTGTTCCAGTCCAGTGAACTGAAACCACTCTGAAACCCTACTGGACTGAGGCACGGCCGCCTTTTTTGGTGGCCCGGTGGCCGTGACTGAGGTTGATGCGAGGCTGTTTTAGGACATTGTCCTCTTGACCAACAAAGTTGGATTGATTGCGTCTTATTTACATTAAAAAACAATTAAAACACTAAACATACATATATATATACAACTAAGCAACAATGGCGGGTATGGCGGTATTTTTTACAAAAACTGCTAGGATATTCTGGACGCACAATTTTTATTTATGATGTGGTTGTTTAATATGGACAAAATGAGAGCATTCTTTTGCTGAGGAAAGACCATTACCGCAACGATAACGGAAGGGTAGTCAATGGTGTTTGTGGTGTAAAGGATAGAGCGATAGAGCAGCATCGGGGCTATAGAATACGGAGCAGCATTAGACTGATCGAATTTGAATGGGTAGGCCTACTTCACCCGGTGAAGTAGTTCACCACCGAATGAGTTTTTGAAACTTTACTTCACTGAGTGAGAGTGAAAGTTGTTTACTATTTACCTAACCCGCCATGTTAAACTTCCCTATCCCAAGCGTGATGTATTCAACTTCCTTACTTCTCGAGTGATGTAAAGTATCAAAAACTAACTCGGTGATGTAATGAAACCCATTTAAATAACATTGAGTGATTAACTTAAAAAATATACCTCTATGGAGCCAACGACGTTCAACGCTAGAAATCAGCTGTGCTCTTGAATTTTATTGTTATGTTTTGAAGAATTTTCCTAACCTAGCTTTTGTTTGTAAATGAACGTTACTGTTAGTTAGAAGATGAGTGAAATGGATAATGATTAATATTGTTCGTAACCTCCTGTATATTGTCGGGTCAGGTAAAATCTTGTACGTTACACGTTACGCAAGAGCGTGTTTACATCACTTAGGTAAATTATGCAACTCGCATCCGCTCGTTGCACAACCTTCACCTGCGTGATGTAAAAACGCTCTTACTACACTTGTAAGGTAAATAGCTATTTTAACTATGTCCGATACTGGGTGTGCCAAAAACTGAGGGTTACTAGTTCGAATCTCGGAATTTTCGAATATAAACATGTATAGTTATACTATACAAGATTTTAAAGGTATTTAATAGACAAAAATTTTGGTGAAAACATAAATTAATCATCCAAAAAATTCCGAAATGGCGGCAGTTTTTTGTTGTTGTTGAGAAAATTGATATGTTTTGAATACTCTGTATTTCCTATACCAATGCATTTAGCTCTTCTCCGGTTGAATTTTCTTACTCGTTATGAAATTAGCTATGCTGTGGTAAGCTACAACATACGGGTTTTTAAAATATAAAAATTCCAAAATTGATTTTTAAGTTTGCAAATGCCCATGGTTTAAGTTGTAAAAAAGCAACATATGTCAAGTGGCACATCTTTTTATAGGTTTTCTAAACAGCTTTGTAATTTACACTTACCTCGTTTCTCAGTTGGTTGTTTTGTAAATAATAAAAACCCTAATTTCCCTATATCAAATGCATGTTATTTGGGTTTAACACTAATGGCTCCATTTCATTAGTCCCCATTTCATCTTGGATAATTTCAAACATCAAAGTGATTATAATGTAAATATCTATAGTTCGGCCGCTTAGAAAACGACCTGTGCGCTAATGCTAAACCAATGCTGGAGGAGGTCGTTTTCTACACGGCCGACCTATAGTAGACTGTGAGATTATAAATACTAGAGATCGTCCCGTGATCGAAAACTTAACCAAAAATATCTAATGTTCAGACTTCTCTTACTTTCGAGTTCACCACTGCTGTAAATAGAACATATTGTGATTGGAATGTCTTCCATTTGTTTTGATTTTCTGTTTATATTTCGTTGTTATTTCTTCACCAGCATGACAACCCATAAGGCCCATGTTAATTTTCAAAATTTTAAATTCACTTTTTACACTTACTTCTGAATCTATTTATAATAGCTTATTCCCTATATGAGAAATTCGCTAAAAGGTTTTAAAGAAACATGCTTGCCTAGATTGTTTGTTGTACACAAACACTGTGTCTTGTATTGTTTACTTTACAGTACAGTATAAGTAAAATATATTAAATAGGGTAGGAAGATGTATTTTTTATTATAATACTAAATATTATGATTTAAATTATTTTATAGTTGTGAACTGCTGTCCAAATTCCTACTTAAGGCTGCACTCTACCCGTCTGACGCGCAAATGCAAGGGTTTCAGTTCTTACTGTTTGTAGGCCCAATTGTGAACCGATTTAAAAGATCTTGGTGTCATATTTTTCGTTAAATATTATTGAAGATTTTCTGCTTTTTAAAATTTTGATAATTTAAAAAAATGTTGGGCTAAAAGGTTGGTAAAAATTTTAAAATACACGTTTTTTATAATAAGTTTTAGGCATACAAATAATTTTTAGAGAAAAAATAACAAATGGGGAAGTGCAATAGATTCTTAAAAACAAGAATCTGCAGTTAGTTTATTAAAAAGTTTAAGGATAACGATGTGATCCCCCAGATTTGAAAGCGCTCTTCATGGGGCTGTTCAATGCAATGGTATAGGGACATCGGCGTTAAGCAACTTCATATTGAGAAATCCGAGCTGAGGTAGAGCGCAACCTTAAGCAACTTATTTTGTAAAATACCACTGCAAAATAATAAGAACAATTACACATAAAGTATTCAAGTATTTAACCAAAATATTCAAAAAATAGTTATTTGTGTAACTAGTGGGCAAAGTGGCACTTTGCTGCACACGAGAGCAATGTTTACAAATGTTTCAATGTAACATGTTTCGGAATGATCTCGAGTGCAGCAAAGGCCTTTTGCACTCGTGTTACACATTATATTTTTCCTACAGTCACTAAAAAGCATATAAATAATTACCGGTAGTCTTTCAAACACTATACAACACGTTTTTAGGTTCAACTGGCAACACAAATAGGTGCCCTAGAGAAAGTAGTACCCGGTCCGTATCACTACGCTATTTTTTCCTTCCTCGGCAAGAGATGTGCTCCGCGACTTGAGAAAATAGTTCCGTATGTTTTTGTAATATGAAGTGGTTTCCGCGCCTAAAAAATGCTTTAAAGGTATTTTCTTGTTTATTAAGATCGTAGGAATGTTTTAAAAACGTTTAAAAGAAAAGTCCAGAAAGTTCAGAAATACCGAAACTATAAACACGAAATGACAGGTTAAATCGTAGTTATAGTAGTCAATCAGCTGCTCATAGTATAATTATCTTAAAGTGTTGCCAACCTATTTCCAAGCATACACGGATTACGTGCATAATAGAACCACGCTGATTTGTGTTGTTTCGTTGGAATCCTGATGTGCGCCAAAGTATAAACTGTACGACAAAGTATAAATATGCAGCAATTAGCAGCTTCCTGTATTATAAACAGTACAAGGAAGCCAACTTTGTCGGGTGACTGTAGGAAAAATAATTTGATTGGTTTAATGAATCAAACTGGATAATGTATGGGATTAAAAAGCGACAAAATAATAATAATTAATTATATTTTACACAGTAGTTTACAATCATGAACAAAATTATACACTTTGTGGGGTACTACAAGAGATATTCTATGTATTAAACTATGTTCAAGCACAACAAAGCTCTTATTCCTTTCCACTTAAATAAACTTGTGGTATCGGTCTCTGTATGCAATCAAGCCCGAGCGGTATTTCTGTTCTCTCGCATCCTAAAACCAAAAGAACCCAATAATATCCATTGTTAAAATGTAAAATAATATACATAACAGAAAAAAAACACATTCAATGGATCTTCTCTATAATTTATATTCCTACTTCTGTACAACTTTTAAGTCAACGAGAGTGAAAACTATGATTAATAATGATGAAAGATTGTTAACAAATTCTAGATATTTTTGGGACAAATAAATCAATTGGAGAACATAAGCTGCACATTTTACGGGGTTTTTTCAGTAAGGGCTGTTTTTGCTTATGGCTCTGTAATTTGTCTGTATGCTGCAACGAAGTGGCTCACCCATTACTGGCTTCATTGGTGTCATTTGCTGATCTGTCGCTGACGTGTACGCTTTGCTGGTTATTTTTGATTTTTTTTTGCTTCGTATTATAGTATCTCCTACTTCAAGCGAGACCCTTATCGGCTGCAGTTCTGCAGTTTAATTTTAATTTCTAAATTCATCGCCAGATGGCTAATGTTTATGTCCCTAGTGCAAGTAGGGGTTAGAGAGTTAAAAATGTCAATTTCGGAAGGAGTTATGTTTTTGGAGGGTACCCAGACTTCTCACAGAATTCCACAAGGAAATAGGTTTTCACGCTCATTTTTTCACTTCCTAACCCATTTCCGCATTTTGTTTCTTGTAGTTAAATCGTATTACTGACCTTATCTCGCATGCGGTGGGGGTGTCCATAATAACAAAATTTGTTTAAACACACTGCGAAGTGTACACATCGCTACAGAGTTGTAAGTGGTGCCATTCTATTCACTAATGATGTCAGTAAGCAGCAACATATGAACTACGGAGGAGCTATACATGAAAACGGCGCTTACTTAAAAACTACCCTCGTAGTTGTAGGCTTTGATTACATGTAATGAGATTATCGAGAGTAGGTTATCTGAAAATGATGATCACTCGGCTACTAAGAAAAAAGGCTAAATCCAAACAATATTATTTAGGCTAATTAACACAATTCAATACAAGTAGGATGCAAGTTTAGGGGATAATAGAAACGGGATAAATGATCACAAGTATCTGTTAGCCGCTGGACTTAATTTTCTCCCATAAGATAGCTGATATTTATTTATTTTCAAAAAATTCCAACTAGCCACTTGGTTTTCCTTAAAAATAAAGCATAAAATTGCATTTTCACAAGAATATCTAGACAACTAGACAATGGAAAAGATTAATTATCAATATATCAAATGAAGCAAATCTCGATACACGTTCATCACTCACTAAGAAAAAAGGAGTAGGTAACTTAGTTAAAAACACACAACATTTTATACTCAATATGCCCCTGCTTTATAATACTACTCTCCTCACTTAACTGGAACCCTTTTCTACAGTGATTTAGACGTGAATCCTTTTTCCTTGACACATTCCTTAACAAGTTTTTACTTCAAAAACAAATAATTGTAACAAAACAAGTTAGATAGTTGCTTACAGAGTGTATGTCTGCTTACAAACACTACTTCATCTAGATACATACCCTGTCTGTCTTCACCTTGTACATGCACAACGCAAGTGGCAGAACTATAAACAACACCCCTCCAAGGGCATTTTTTGGGGTTGGTTTGAAGAAGTTGTAGCCTGTTGCTTCCATAGCCATCCATCTTTGAATACCAGTATCAAACTAAAACAAAAGAATGATTTTAGAGAGAATACTTTGATTAGTGAAATTATAAAAGCCGTCTCTTCAGGGGCCGCCTCTCTTTTTCAGTGGACTGCAGTCATTTGATTAGGTTAAAAATTAAAATGGTTTAGGGTTAGTTTATGATAATGACAAACAAGATAACATTAACAAAATTCACTTTTTCCTGAACGCATAAAAAAAGAAGGGACATAATAATATATTGATGTATTTGTAATTTGTCTGTTTGACATAATTATAGATAGCCTACAACATCACAAATTTAGTTTTTGTTAATATATTACCTTGTTTGTCATTATCATAATCTGAATAAACCTAAACAGGTAGGTAAAACCCATAATAAACTGATTAATGGCACGTTAAAGGAGTTAACATGAAAAACGTGTGAGTTATTGGTGTGCGGAGGCTTAGGCTAATGTTAAAGATAAAACCCTTCAAATGTGTTGGAGGAAGATTTATGACGAACTAGACGAAGAAGAAATCGAAAGTTTTGAAAATTTGACAAAGATGGTTCATAGGATTCCTGGATGTGAAGAAATGAATGCAAGTGACGTGGACGAATGGGTTGTCGCCGATGATCCTGATAAACTAACCGATCAAGATATTGTAGAGGCAGTTTTGCAGCCAGCTGACAACACAACGGTAAACAAAGCAGACAACGTGGATTTGATTTGATGACGTAATCAGCAAAGTGACACATAATGACAGATTTAATGCATTAGAGGTAAGTCAAACATTACTGTATGACCCAGACACAGAAATTGTACTAGAGATTTGTTTTTAAACAAGTTAAATTACAACCACTTTTATTATTATAGGTTGCTCTAAAATTTGTGGAGCAATGTAGCGAGTCGATGCCTACGGACGTCCTTCTGATTAAAAGGTGGTGGGATATTGCAGCGCAAAATTGCTGTAGGACTCACCCAAAACAAAGAAAAATAACTGATTTCTGTAGGCTACCTAATGTCAAGTAACTTTGGTTGTTTGGATTTAACTAGCCTAACATTTTTGTAGGCTAAATAAAACTGTATTATATAGACATTTTTATAAAACATTGTTAGGTATAAATTCACTTTTCCTACACACCGTGGTAATACATAGGCTACCAAAAAATTGATTATCCGAAATGGCTCTCCCCCTTTATTTCGGTTAACCAGGTTCTACTGTATCACCTGCTTACTTCCATGGTACAGACTAGCTATTCTCGATGAAAAGTAGGAAGGAAGCTGTTACTGATTGCTGTATAATCTGAGACTAAGCTCCACACCTACTGGATCGATCATCATTATTGCTCATTTATATTTCCAAAAATTACATCTAGCAACCCTTGCCGTATGAAAAGAGGTATGAAAAGATAAGATCATTTCAACAAGATATGAATTTTTGTATTGGTGGTTCATAGGACTTCACATGACTTAGGATTCAAAGACCAACTAACATAGGCCTAGGCTAGATAGCTATGGGTATGATGCTAAGTTACAGGTTAATAATCTTAGCCTTTGCATTTACAAGTAAAGCCTCTCTCTCAGCACTATATTTCAGGTGGAGTAATTAGGTTGATGATTAGGAGCCTTGAAAGACGGTTTCGGTTAGCAATTGGAGTGATAACAATTCTTACGGTTCAATCTAATTAACACGTTCAGTGCTAGGGGCAATAATTCACACCCGCGGTACTGGCACCACTGACGCGGGGAAGGAAATGTCGTGCCAACAACCTTGCTTCAATGTGAGCTCAGCCATAGCCGGGGAACGTTATCGTTGCCAGCCTGTAGCTTAGAATAGGCTATAAGCTTTAAGTCTGGTGTAGGTTGGTGGTAAAATTTCCTGTAAAATCCCATCAGGCAATGCTTTTATCCCGGTTCCGGCAATTTTCTCTTTTAGAGCCACTTTACAAAGACACTGGCTACGGATCCAGGCAGTGCTGCTACATACCTTTGGGTGTTTCAGTGAAATATGTCCACTCTCTGGCTAACGTAGCACAATCACCGCTGCTCTTTTTTTATTCTTCAGACTGAAATATTTGAATGCCAATTGCGTTCACCGATTCAGTTGCACGGTGGGGCTTTGCCACCATGGGCGAGCGCCTGTTTGAAGGTATGCCGCACTGAACGTGTTAACAGAACGTCGGTCCCACAAATAACTTATAGCCTCCCTTCAGTTACATGGGAGCTGATGAAGATGACTAAATTTGAGTCAAAAGCATAGAGCCAAACTAAGCCTTATGAAATAGGACTAGGAAACCACCATTTAAATATGACCTAGGTTATATTTGTTAACTTATCCTGTTACAGATTATTGAAACAAAATAAACATCCTCCTTACCAAATATCCACCTTCTCCTGTTGCATGTCTGAATGGATTAGTCATTTGCTTCCAATATTCTGCTTTGGTTGCAGCTCTTTGTTTATTTTTTATTTCAACCAATTCTTTTAACCTGTCTTCTGAAACCATCTTGACTCTGACCTGAAAAAGATTTTAATCAGCTTGAATGAAATAGGCTAGGCTTTATCTGCACTCCAGGGTTTGCCTGATTTTATTATTAACATAATAATAAAGCATTTGAACAACCTACATACCCTATTTAATTAACTAAAGATGCGAAGGTTAGGCAGCGGACGCGACGACAACTTTTACTACTTGTCGTCTGTCTGTCTGTCTGTCCCTGTCGGAGACTCGACTCGAGTTTAATTGGATAAAGAGGAGCAAATCTGAATTGGGTCCAGTCCAGATCAGATTATGGAACAATCGAGCATCGAGCGGAACAGCAAAGAAAAAACATCAAGCCACCATTTTATACTCAATGACATTACTCAGGACGGCTTTTTAAACCATCGACTTTGGGTACTTTTTTTTATATATTATTTATGTGTTTATCTTATTTACGGATTAATAAAGATAATAATTAATTATTTCAATAGATTCTCTAGTCCTTAAGAGGGTGATTTTTAAAAACTATTTATCTATATATAAAGCCAAAAGTACCCATGAACTTTTGAGAAAACTACAAAGTCACACCCCCATAAACCATATACTTTAAAATGTTCGTCATGACGGGAAACCTTGCGCGTAGGTATTTTGTTAATTTCAGGTTAACTTAACCAATCAATAGTTTTATTAATACTTATGAAGCCAAACGGGGTGAAGCCCGTGAGTAAAAGAAAAGCTTTGACTTACAACAATAGTTCTGTATCCAAATTACTTCTTATCCAAAGTACTTCTGTATCCAATAGTCAATGGTAAAAGCTAGTTTAAATAATTGATAATTGATAGTTGGGTCAAAATCCGTCAGTTTCCCTCCCAGAACTCTTGGAAATTGAAATGCAAGTTATGTCAGGAGGACAGTAATTTCACGTTCGTTTCTCACTAAAACAAAATATTATAATAGTATAATCAAAATATATTATCAAATCAAATAACTAATATCATGACCCAACGTTCAAACAAGAATATTAAATATTTCCTAGTAGATGCAAGTTTAATTGTGAATTAATTAATTCACCTTATTGAATAGTGTTTAACGTGGTTTAACACAAAAATTAGTATTTATTTTTCTAAAACTCATTATAGATGAACATTTTGACAGTTTATCTAATGGGCTAAAAGTTATTCCGCAATAAAAATATTAAAAAAAACACCTTTGTCTATTTTTCTTACCATACGTCAATATTATCAAAGTAAAGATTTTACATGGAATAAAAATACCCTGTCTAGTCTATGCTACTACTAAAGTTGTATGAATTTTAAGAGTCGAGGCCTATGCATATATCACAGCTTTATTTTATTACATACATTAGGACAATACATTTCAGCCTCATAATGGTAAAGCTAGGATTCGTTATAAAGAAGGGAAATATTTCGTTTCGTGATGGCAGCAATGGAATCGCTTTACAATTTATTCGTCGTCTGCTGTGCTGTCAAACGTGTACTGGTTCTGGATGTGATCGGTTTTGTGTTTGTATTCGGCAGCTGTTGAAAGAAGCAATTTCATCAACAGGGCTTGTGATATTGTTTTATTTTTAAAATGTCTGATTTGAACAAACTAAAAAGTGCTTTATCGGAGCTAGGCCAAGATCATCTTTTACAATTTTGGGATAGGTTAAGCCAAGGAGAAAGAAATGATTTAATTAAAGATATAAGTGAAATTGATGTCAAAGAAGTAACTTCTTACTTCAAGAAAGCCTTGACGTCCTTGCATGAAGACCAAGAAAAGCTCGATGACAGAATGAAGTCAATACCTCCCCATTTATATGGAGCTGTGTCCAGAACTACCCCAGAACTGTTAGCATCTTATGAAACGGAAGGGTTTGTACAGATTTCAGAAGGAAGGGTTGGAGTTCTGCTTATGGCTGGTGGACAGGGAACTCGACTAGGATCATCTTTGCCTAAAGGTATGTATGATGTTGGCTTACCATCTCACAAGTCACTGTACCAAATTCAAGCCGAGCGTATAGTGAAACTTGAGGAACTTGCAACCAAATGCACTGGCAAAAATGGTCATATTACGTGGTTTATCATGACAAGCGAGAAAACAATGGAACCGACTGAAGATTACTTTGAAGAACACAATTACTTTGGCCTGAACAAGAACAATGTCATATTCTTTGAACAAGGCCTACTACCCTGTTTTTCTTTTGATGGAAAAATCATTCTGGAAGCTCCAAACAGAATATCGAAAGCTCCTGATGGCAATGGGGGAATTTACAGAGCTCTTAGAGATAGAGGAGTTTTGAACGAGATTGAGAGGAGAGGTATTCGCTACCTGCATTGTCACAGTGTGGATAACATCCTCACCAGAGTAGCTGACCCGATATTTGTAGGTTACTGTGTAAAACGAGGTGCAGATTGTGCTGCCAAGGTTGTTGAAAAGGCTTTCCCAACTGAAGCTTTAGGAGTGATCTGTAACGTAGATGGAAACTTCCAAGTAGTGGAGTACAGTGAGATTACTCTCAAAACAGCTGAAATGAGAAACAATGATGGTAGATTGACATTCAGTGCCGGTAGCATTTGCAACCATCTGTTCACTACAGAGTTTTTGAGAAAAATAGTCAACAAGTACGAAAATCAGCTCAAACTGCATGTCGCAAAGAAGAAAATTCCCTATGTGGATGAAAATGGGACGTACCACACACCTGAAAAACCGAATGGGATCAAGATGGAAAAATTTGTCTTCGATGTGTTCCCGTTTGCTGAAAACTTAGTTGTTTGGGAAGTGAACCGTGAAGATGAGTTCAGCGCTCTAAAAAATCCAGACTCTGCGGAAAAAGACAATCCAACAACTGCTAGAAGAGACCTGTACGCTCTACATAGAAGATACATCAAAGATGCTGGGGGACAAATCATAGGCGACCCAGTTGTTTGTGAAATATCTCCTCTTCTGTCCTACGGTGGTGAAGGCCTCAAATCTATCGTAGAAGGCAAGACATTCGAATCACCACTACTTTTGAAAAGCCCACAAGAAGAAATTAAAAATGGCACAAACGGATTCCACATTGATCACTGATATAAAGACTTGAAATCTTCTATTTGAAGATTTAAAAATCCGTCCATTAGATAAGGTATGTGTTATCTTGTAAATTTGAAGTGTATAAAATTAATGTCTTTTTTTTAAGAGTTCCTAATATAAAGCATGTAACCATGTAAATTGTACTTTTAGGAATATTTTTATTGGTTTTAAATAGTTTGAATGCTATAATATATAAATATAAATTTTAACATAAAATTGTCTTTTATCTATCAGAGATGAATCTGCCGAAACGTGACTAAGAGTTAGTTTCATATCATTGGCATGACTAAAAATATTTTATAGGCACACAATAAATTATGTACCATGATTCATGAACAATATTAGATTTTTTTGCTGATGAAATATTTTGCAGTTTGTCAACAAATATAACTTTGTATCATTATTAAATGCTGCTTCTATGACTTATATTAATTTAAGTGGTTTTGCAGTTTCAATCAATAAATATCGTATTTTGATGATTTTCTACTTGTTTACTTCTGCAAAACTCTGTATTCATCACAATTAGAACTAGCCTAATTGTCATGTAAAATAAGTTTATATATTATTTTATCTTGTAAAAGTACTGTAGGCCCTAATGAGACCCTACACGATATCTAATGATGTAATCGACAAGTTACCCGCTATTGTCCATCTTTGTTTGGATAATTTTTTTCATATTTAACATTGTAAGTACCTATCTAAAATGTGCTTAAAACTACTAGAAACTGACATTTCAATTTTATATAACCTGTAAACAACTATAATCTTTCTAATTCGTTGATTAATTTTAGTTGATTGATACATGGTTATATTTAGTTTAAAAATAACAGTACATTTTAATTACTTATATTGTTTTTATTACAAAGCAAATTAAACACATAGGTAGATTTAAAAAAAAATCAGACAGGCTGAGAATGATTTAGCCCACCCCTCTTCCTATAGAAGAACAAAAACATATTTTAAGTTTTTTCTAACAAATCATGAAAATAAATTTGGTAAATGATACCCTCATTTGGTAGCTCAGCGCTTTCAAAAGAAAAAATCCTGATTACATGTCTTGTTAGGTAGTCAATTAATTCTATTTCATCTTTAACACTGAAAACACAAATTTGTACTCCTATGTGAAATTTCACCAAAATTTAAGAAAACAAAGACTACAGTTTTTCTTACTTATTTTCCAAACAATTTGGATAGGAAAAAGATTTAATTGTTTTTGAGTATGGTTAACTGCTAGCTTTATATTTTTGTAAGTAATTTTAAACTGCATTTATTGTTTTTATAAATATTTGTAATGTAATTATTTATAACTTTCTAGATAGTAACCCTTCCTCCCAAAACATTTTAGTTTTGATTTTAGAGACTATATAAATATAAAGGACGCACAAAGTTTACCTCCCTTTCAAGTTTTCTTAATTGTTAAATGACATAAACAATTTATAGGATGATATTCTCAATGTTATCAGTTAAGAACAGAGTTACTGATAGTGACTAATCTGTCTTTGATAAAATACACCAAGAAAAACTTTAGTAAGAAAAACATATGATATATTATATCAACCAATCGAGATTATGTTATATAAAAATACTATCTATCATTGAATAAGTTTTTTTTTTATCATTGGTTAACTTTGATGCAAAAAGTATAAAAATGCAATGATAACTATTTTGCAATAATTTACTTTATAAAGGACATAGCCTAAAAATTTTTGATGTTAATAAAAAATTACAGACAATAGTTATTTGTGCAACTAGTGAGAAAAGTGCCTCACTCGAGAAACCATTCCTCACTCGCCTACGGCTCGTGAGTAAGGATTTCTCTCGAGTGAGGCAATTGTACTTTGAACTCGAGTTGCACATTATACTTTTCCTACAGTTACCATAAAACAAATAAATTGGTGAACAAACATAACCTATTTTTACACAGAAGTGAACTTTTAATATAACATTTAATGTGAAGTGACAAATACAACAGTACAACAGCTGACCAGCTGATTTACAGCCAGTGCTGCCAACGTATTTCGCGCGCATACGGCGTTGCCTGCATGTTACGCGCTCACTATTTCGTGGCTTCACGTTGAAAATCTGGAGTGAGACAAAGTAATTAGAGTGAGACAATGTTAACATTGTCTCACTGATGAGCGAATTGGCCACTTTGCTTTCTCAAATCAGTGAGAGAACATGTACATTGTTAGGTAACTGTAGGAAAGTATATATTACCATATTTAGGATTAGCATTTTTCCACCATGTTTCACAATGTTAAGACACAACTTCAATAAATCCTGAAAATATAGCCTACTCGGTACTTTTTTAGTATTTTTTCCAAAAGTAAAAATGTACCTATAGCAAAGCATATATCCTGCCGTATGCAAGTTTTCGATGATTTTGCATAGTGTTTGTACAGTAAAACAAGATAAACCAAGTATGTTGGGATAGTTATGCATCTCAAAAGTACATCTGTTGTTGTGCAATTCTACCCTGGTCGGCTAGTTAAAATAATTAACTAGCAAGCAAAATACCCGGATTTTTTAAACACTTATCAGTTTCTGAATTGAACATTTGAGATAATTTTGTTATTTGTGAGATTATAATAGAAGCCTTACTATTTAGTATAATGTGTAACAATGAGCTGGTTAAGGGTTTTACTGCCTACGATTTTTAATTTTAAGTTTTATGAGCTTTTACATTGGTTGATTATGGAAATTTGCTTCTAGTTGTATTGACCGTCTAATTACCATAGCCTCTCTTTGTTTTTGCTTTAAAATATTTTCGAGCGGTAGACTTTAATTTTGTGATCATTTTTATAGTTATATATGTATTATAATATCGTAGTTTTAGGTTTGAATTGTTTTTTTATCATAACAAATGTCAGAATTTGTTGCTATTTTGTCTAAAAGATGTCTATTTTATCGTGGATAAACTAATTTAGGTCTCCTTTTTAATATTACACTCAGTTTTAACGACAAACTAAAAATAAGTGACTATTGAGGCTTAGCATGTTCTTTTAATAGTTTTTAGTGACAAAAATTTTAATTTGTAAAATATGTGTTAGAATTTATGGTAAAATTTAATCTTGTACAAAATTATTTTAGCATGAGTGTGATGATACTATGAATGTTGTATTGAATTTTGTTTGGTTTTTAAAACTAGTTCTAAATTTCATATGTAAGTAGAAGCTTTGACTATTAATACTGTACAACTCAACGAAGCTAGTAAACTTTATTGGTTCTATAACATATTATATTCTGTTTTATTTTTTATTTTTTTTATGAAAGTAATACAATCACATATTTGTTTTGTTTTTAATCTTTTAAATCTATTTATACAGCAACAAAGTTTTATTTTGACTAGGCCAAATTAAAAAAAAGGTTTAGTAAAGACAACTTTGTTTGATCAACTTTTTGTGATAACTGTGTAATTTTATTGATATTATGGTTCCCATAATTATGTATGGTTTTACAATCTATTCATATTTTATTTTAAAGATATATTTATAAAATAATTTTCTTCAGGTATTGAGTCTGTATCTATTTAATAGGTCGTCTGTCCAGTTACCATTTTATGCAAGAGATCATGTATAGAAAATATTGTTATAGTGTAGTGTAGCTTTTATATCAGAATAAAGTTTCAAAATAATTTTAGATTTTCATTCACCCTTAACCACTTTAATATTTTCAGTTTTTAGAGAAGGAAGACATGGTTTCCTGGTATTTGATAAGGTCTGTTATCTAAAGCTGTGGTCCATTTAAACAAAGTTGTGTTGACTCAAATTGCTATTTATGTTATGTTCAATATTTCCTGAAATGTTGTAAGAAGGATTATAAAAGGTTATAATTTAACACAAATCCTGAAGGATTACTCATATTAGTGGTTATTTTCTAGTGGTCAGACTAATTTGTTTCATCTTATAATCCAACTAGTGTTTTAAACAAATATTATAATAACGATCATTCAACTAAAAAAAAAATAAATAAATAAAAACTGCATTGTTCATATTCAACATATCATTGATAATTTTTATCTAAACCATTGAAAAATGGCCCTAAAAGGAGCTGGGAAGTAATACAAAAATACAGCATTGCAATATTTTTTACATTTTTATGCCAGTTCACAAAAAGCAACAATTTCTTTAGTTAGTGTTCGACCAAGAGTTTTGTAGAGTCTAGAAGCAACAACATGTTATTTTGTCTGGAAGGACGTGTGGAAGGCTCAGCAGAGCTCAGGGCTAAAGAGAAAGTGGCTTTCCACTCGACCAAGAAATTACACAACAACTGGATTTGATCTACAGACCGTGGTACAGTAATGTGATGGATCAAATTGGTACAGTTGGTACCACACTGCATCTTGCAACAGTAGTTTACCAATCAGTTCTGTTGATTGGTTTGTTTACTGCTTTTAAACTTAAGGACTTCAGATTGAAATGTTATTTCATTTTTATAAAGATAGAATTATGTTTATGACATGAAACATTTTCTTAGAAGTTTTGTAAACAATATGACTGAAATTTTTATAGGACACATTTTTCTATTTTCATCCCTTAATTGGATACCCAAAGAAAGAGGGGGGGGGGGGTTGATAATTTAAATTACTTTGTTTTAGTTCAAACCAATCACAACACTGTGATGTGAAATGTAAATTTTACAAGGTTTGGTTCATTTTTAGTATAATAGGCAATTGTCTCTTTTATTCTCCATTGCCACCACCCCTTTTACTTTTACTTCATATAAGTTACTCATTTAATCACATTAGTTTGATTACGTGTACCTAACAAATGGAGGGTTTAATTTGGTATTTTGATTTTATCAACAGGATGATTACAAATATTGTACATTTTGTTACCCACACTATTTTTACCACACTTGATTACATGATTAACTATGTTTGCTGAGTTAACAAAAATTAATGATAAGCAAGTTCAGATGGTTAATAATAAGTGCATTGTCTTTCATCCTGTTTGCTGTGTTGATTGAACATGATTGTTTACATTCTCTAGCTCACCATCTTATAAGCATTACTATAGTCTGTATGATGAAACTTGTCTCCTCACCCTCCATCTGCCTGGAGACTGGCCAATGGGTTAAGTTCTGGCCAGCCCCCAGGTAGACAAAGGATCAAGATACACATTCCATCATACAGGCTATAGAGTTATCGTTCCTAAAAGTCAACTTCATGGTAAAAGATGGAAAATAGAAAAAAAAATACTGAGCTTATTGTTAAATCTAAGCTTTTCCTCAGAAAACATGATCTTGTACTTGGACACTAAGTCAATTGGTTAAAAATAAAAGGATTTTAGTATTTCCTGGCTAAAATCTATGTTAAAACATAGCAGCAAATTGTTTTAAAGGAATATATATTAATTTCAAATACAGTACAAAGGAATAAAGAAATTAATGTTGAATCTTTAAAGGTACGGAGCATCATAATTCATTTTAAACAGACTGATTTTTTCATGCCATTTGTACTTTTAAAGTAGCCTTTTATAAACTCTTGTGGTCTCTACAAATAACACAAATAAGTCTTAAGCATTCATATTCTTAGATTACATAAAAATTTGTTTATTTTCTTTAGATGGTTCTAAAAGTTGTCCTAAGAAATATATTTACATAAGAACGTTTACTAAAGAAATAGAATACTCGATATCATAAAGTCAAGGATGAAACTTAATCTCAGTACTCATGGAATGATACAAAATCAATGCCCATTTATTGAAAAAGCTATAAACTAATTTTTCCTAAGCTTTGGTTGTAATACAGTGACTAATCTTTAACTACTCTTCCATCATTTTGTTGATGTTTTCGTATTAGTGAAGATAAGTTAATGTACCCAGTCATATGCAAACAGTTCTGATTTATCTCAGAAAAATATAGCTCTAGAATAATAAACTCTATAACTTAAGCTCTAATTTAGGACGAGGGAAAACAATCAGCTGATTTTCCCTCGCTCTCGATTAGTTCTCTATTTATCCACTATGCGTGCTAGTGTTTTGTTAGGTTTGTTTTAATGATTTAAATCAGCTGATTTTATTGTTGCTCAATCTAAAATGTATACAGAAACAGGCATTAGTTTGTTTTGCTGTGTTTTTAGCATAGTGCATGTTTGAAATTGCTCAAAGTATGTCTAACATTACTGATGATTTGAAGAAAACAGCTTCAGAGGTAACTAATCATCTAACTAACTAAATCACGGGAAAGATAAGAAGAGGAATACAAAAAGTTTAGAAACTGGTAAAAGTTACAAAATGTTAAGTCAGTTCAAGTAAGTGTCGAAGTATTTATATTTATCTAAAAATCTACAATTATGAAACCATGTACGTTGTGAAGTGTATTTTCAATGATAAAGGGTGGTCTAAAACTATTTTAATACTACTGAGATATGTTATTCTGTACGTGTGTATTTTTGCGTTGTCATGAAAAGTATCGTTCGTAACTCATACCAAAAGCTATTTCCCTAAAGCTATGTTCGGCTTTGCCTCAAACATGAAACTTGAGCATGCGTTGGAAGATGCCACTTTCAGTCACCTAGTAATGAAATATACTATTTCCTAACAAACTGACATCCACCAACAAAACGACAATATCGTCTGATTTGTGTAGTGAAAGAGGTCTTCTTCATTAGAATATTTTACTCTACAAACCTCATACTAATATCAGCTAGAAGGTTCAGATGAACATAGAAAGTTGTCCATATAGCCCTGATCTATCTCATCAGGGCACAATAAAAGAATGTAATTGCAACATCACACTTTTCATTTGTGATACAAAATCACAAATGAAGGTTTAATGAAGTTTAGAGTCAGTGGCTCAGTCGGTAGCGTCACGGACTTCGGGCTCAAGGCAGCGATGGGTTCGGATCCTGGTCACTGCCGCTGCCGCAAACATTTTATCTGTACAGTTCACCCTTGTACTGTACCAGCTCACACCTTGCTTGCTGGATACGTTCCACGCACAGATCTGTAGTCTATGTGGACGGGCAAATGCAAAAAGCAAATGCAAGGTTAATCTTTTAAGAAAATCTCAGCAAATGATTCTTCAGAAGGTACTGAGTAAAATGAATGATCAATGACATCCAATAAGTGATTTCAAAGCCTCAAAGTACCTTAAATTTTCTCTAGAACTTGTTGCACAGAGTTTTTAATTTTCCAATTTAGACTAGAAACATTTGAGATAATCCAAACAAATAACTAATTGTTTGTTTGAGTAATGTTTCATGTCAATAAGATTTTACGTAAATCTTTAAATCACTTAACAAATATGTTTAAATTCAAACTTTATTCAGTGTAGTAGATCTAGGCCTATACCACACTTTTTAAACCGTATTAAATCTTGTCTGAATATAATGTGTTGTGAGTAAGCTCTATGAACTGGTTTATTACAATCAGCCAACGCCTTCGTATACCAGTCCTGGTCCCAAGTGCCCCACCCGGACTCATGACGTAAATTAACAGAAAAAAATACATAACTAAAGTTGTTCATGAATTTGACTGAATTTTGTCCTTGTTTAGAACAGATTTGAATAGCCATGTAAGTTTTATATTTGTACGATTTAACAACACTTGATATAATTTTTCAAATTCCAACTGGCTGGGGCATCAAATTGTATAAAACTGTTAAATGTTTGTGATAAAAAAAAAAATTCAACATGTATAAGCACAGTGGTATGAAAGCTAAGTAGTTTGGGAATGACTTCCTTCTCTGCTATTATTCAAAATTATTTTCAGCACCCCCTCTCCCCCAAAGTAAAATCCAAATGTTCCCTAATTACATTTTACAGCCTTATCTCTACTCAATGCTTTGGAAGTTGAGAGACACAAGCCACCTAAATATGATAACTCTGTACTCCAATTATGTGGTTGGGTTTTCCTGATGACCACTTTTATAGGCTAGATTATAAAATGTAGAACAACAAAATAATTCTTTCCTGTTTGTCTATTTAAAAGTAACTAGTAGTTTTACAGCTTGGGTTTTCAGTTTTCGGTCAAGAAAACTTCTTTTAATTTAAGAAATATTTTAAGATGCTATATACCGGTATGTAAACTAGTAAAAATAAAAAAAATCGACTTATCCTAGAGTAGAAAATAGTGACCACTGGTCATTGGCCCATTGTAAGGACATTGTAGTAGAAGTCAATAACTAATGATGTCTGTTAAAAGTATTTGTTTTCAACATTAATTGTAACTGTAGGATTGATATGATTCATTATGAATTTCAAAATATTATAGAGAGTGTTTAAATATTCCTTTCCCAAAAGCCAGATCTGCTGCTACAGCTACAATATTAACAGGGTTTAAATATACAAAAATTGAAATTAACACATCCCTTTATACTTTGAACTTATTAAACTGTACAGCATTCTCAGCTTACCGGTTTTAAGTGTATACTAGCTTTGACAACTATATAAACACAACTTATTACTATCACAGATAAAAAGAATTAAATATAGACCGTCAGCCGTGCTGTGATTGCCATAGGTTCTGGCACACACCACTGGACACCCAGAACCTGTGTGCGCCAGAACCTATAGTAACCATAATGGTAACCAACCGCAGTCTATATTTAATTATTTTTGGCTATGTTATTATACTTCAGTACCCATTAGACAATGATACTATACTAAAGGCAAAATCAATAGAAGCTTCAA